AATTAAATTAAAAAATTACACAAAAAAAGGAATTTTAATTAGTTAATTTGATACTAATATCGATATATTTTTGTCAAATTTTTATGATATCTTCAAACATATATTTTATTCAAAAATAAAAACACCATTGCTTTCTCAAAATCACATAAGACTATATTATAACATCGACTGAGATAAAAAAAAATGAAATATTAAAATCAAGATATATTTCGCTGCATTGCACGTGTACCTTCTATTTTTATTTAAATATGTACTTTATTATGAAATATTTGATAGTTTTATAATTATAATAATCGTTTTAATAGGTTATAGTTTCTTTTCTTTCGTTTTTTTACATTTCCTCCCATATTTGGAAGGAAACTTATGATCGGATAGCAATACCGATTTAATCCGATTGTTCTTGGAATAATTTTTTTTTTTACTTTTTTTTTCTTTTTTCCTCCCTTTCCTTTTCTTCGTGAGAAAGATTTCGAGAACACAACGTTAAAGTTCAAACATGAATTTTTGAGAAGAAGTCATGAATATATATTTATAAATCTGAGATTTTAAGAAACTGAGGTAAATGCTAATAATATTAGTAAAACCCATCTTTTCATTGATTTTGTTTTAAATTTATCTATACTATATTATAAAGCATTTGATAAAAACTCTTAAAAATAATTTTTTTCATGTATGAAGTACTGTTTATTGATGCATATTACTTAAAATTCAAGGTTACAAGTAATGTTGCGTAAGTATAACTTATTAAATCTCAATTTTTAAATTCGTGTCAGTAACTGTAAATAAACATAATCAAATATAGGATAAACATTCATTTTAAATATTAAAAAAATCTAAAATATAATTTTAAATATAGAAAACCTAAATCTATAGTATATTATAAAACATTTGACAAAAACTCTTAAAAACCATTTTTTAATGCATGAACTAGTATTTATCGATGCATATTGATTAAAATTCAATGTTACAAATAATTTTCGATTTATTTTTTTTCAAATTTTTATATTATCTTCAAATTTATATTTCATTCATAAATAAAAACATTATCGCTTTCTCAAAACCATATAAAATCGTATTATATCGATAGAAACAAATAATAAAAACTAAACATTAAAATGAAGATTTATCTGACTACATGATATACCTTTTTAGTATCTTTTAAAATGATATGTGTAAATCCAGACAAAACCAATGCTAGACTCGTGTAAATAGATATAATTTAGACCCGATTTTTATTGACAACAAAACCAATACCAAACTCATTTAAATCGTTTCAACTCAGACCTGATTTTTACCAAATGCTTACGGGAACACATATATGTACTGCACACTGTAGGGACTCCGCGTTCTTCTTTCTATAAAAACCATCTCCTCATTGCATCATAACCCATCTCTCTCTCAATACAACAGTTATAGAGGAGGTTACCTTCCATTTGGGTTTTCTATTTAAACAACGATTTGTACTTCATCTCTCTGAATCAAACAAGAATGGGAGCAGTTTCTATTTTGCACACAGTTTTTGGCATTTTCGGTGCGTCTTCTTCATATAATTTTTCTGTTTTCCTCTTGAGTTCATGAGATTGTGATTGATTTCTTATGATTTGCTTCATGGGTCTCACGATTTGTACACCGGTCACAGTATTTTGTTGATTGATTTTCATTCTATGTGATACTGGAAACAGGGGATGCCACTGGTCTGTTCCTCTTCCTGGCACCGACGTAAGCATTTGAATAATTTACAGTGAAACCCAAACGATTTTTCAGATTTCTATGGGTTCTAGTTCATGAACAAACAAATCTGTGATTGATTGTTGGATGTGATTGTAGGATAACGTTCAAGAGGATACTCACGAACAAATCAACCGAACAATTCTCAGGAATTCCATACCCCATGACCTTGCTCAACTGCCTTCTCTCTGCCTGGTAGTTTCTCCTTTCTTCTCTCTCTCTCTCTCTCTCTTCAAATTCGGTTCACAAAAACAGTTGCTGTTTGTTCACAATGGAATCTACTTTCGTTGCTGTAAATTCCGATGGGTATGTGAAATTATTGTTCTACTGTTGGATGTTGTCAGGTATGGATTACCATTCGTATCGAAGAACAACACACTGGTTACGGTTATCAATGGGACAGGAGCAGGAATTGAGGCAATTTACGTTTTGATATTCATAATCTACGCACCGAAGAAGGAGAAGGCGAAGGTCCTTGGGTTGGTTACATTCGTCCTCGCCGCCTTCTCCACTGTCGCCTTAGTTTCCGTTTTTGCTCTCCACGGCAAGAGTCGCCGGTATTTTTGCGGTTTCGCCGCTGCAATTTTCTCCGTCATCATGTACGGATCTCCCCTCTCAATCATGGTAACTTAATCCGCCATTTCTTCAAATCTAAATTAATTCGCACCCATCCACTGGACTTTGAACTTGGTTTCAACACCGAAATCTGCAGAGAACAGTGATCAAGACCAAGAGTGTGGAGTTCATGCCATTCTTCTTATCATTGTTTGTTTTCCTGTGTGGTACTTCCTGGTTTATATTTGGCCTCCTGGGAAACGACCCTTTTGTATACGTAAGCCCTTTTCACTAGTTCATGCTTCACTTGAGTTTCAGATTACACATTTGATAACTGGTTCAAATCGAATTGCAGGTTTGTAATGGGTTCGGAAGCGTATTGGGTGCACTACAGTTGATTCTGTATGCCATATATAGAAAGAACAAGGGGCAGAAAGATGAGAAGGCCGCAGCCAAGGACGGCGGATCCACCATGGAAATGGGGTTAGTGAAACGCCCAGATAAAGCAACAGTCACGGCCATACAACCGCCGGAAAACACTCGAGTGTAGGAGGGATATATATCTTTCACCTTGCCTTTTTATCTACTACGACTTTAAATGTTTGTTTTTCTCTTAACATCAAGTTTGTGTAGTTTGTTTGTTTGTGAAAACCGCTGAATTCATCATCTTCATTCCTAAACCACGGCTTCCATTTTCGCAAAATGAACACTATATATATATATATATATATATATATATTATAAAATATTTAACAAAAACTTTTAAAAACCATCTTTTTACGTACGAAATACCATTTTTATGAATGCCTTTTTAATAAATATATATATATATAATAAAATATTTAATAAAAATTTCTAAAAAATATTTTTTATAAATAAAATATTATTTATTCAAATACCTTTTTAGTGTATATATATATATATATCAGAAACAATGTATGTGAGAATTGTATTATAATATTAAAAAAATGGTTATTTATCTGGATAACATGCAACTTTGGTGGGATTCAGAAATTTGTTTTTAGGGGTGGGATGGTCATTGTTTATTGACAGAATAAAATCATAGATGGAGACAGGGGCAAGACAAGTGCTGTTCCATGATAAATACCTCTTCCCAATGCCCTTTTTTCGAATACCATTAATTTATATTTAAATTAAATTAAATTTTTCCAAAAACAATTTTCGAATTTGAAAAACTTCTTTTTAGAGCTTATTTAATCTAAATTATGTACATTATTATGTATTTATGTCTAATTTTAAATTAAAATGTATTGTCAATTATTTTGCATAATTTATGATTTTATATAAATTTTGTTTTCTTAACAATATAAAAAAAAAATTAGGTCCGTTAACCGTTAATAGAGCAGGTATAGGCAAGTTTTCAAGCCTGTAAAAAAAACTTGAATTTGTTATATTGAACCCGTTGAATAAGAAAAATATGTTAGTCTAGGCCCAGTTTCGATCCAAACCCGCAAATGATCAGCTCTAGTAAATAGAGAGGACATCTACAATGAAATATTGATATGATATATAAGAAGTTATTATTATTATAAAAAAATATTAAAGATCTTTTTTGAGTATTTACTTAATGTGTGATTGAAGTTGATTCTTTTAAGTGTTCAATAAATCCACCATTTTTAATGTTTTATAACAACTTTTAACATCTCCTTGAGGAGCAGCATCAAGACATGTAACCAACTTGTGAAATTCTTGATAAAATCCTCAAATAATGGTTTAGGGTAAAGGGTTAAAAAAATATTTGTTTTAGTAGAGTTCAATATTTATCTTATATTTGTATATGTTTATAGATATTTTATGAAGTTTAAAGATGTGATTTAGGGTTTAGGGTTCATGGTTAAAAAATACTTACGTATAAAAGTTTTATCATTTTACCAAATTTTGAGGTAGTTTTAGCAAGAGTGAATTACAATGGTGGTCCATGTGGTTTGCTCAATTTTTGGATTTAATCCCTAAAATAAACTATCTATATTCGTGGTCCATAACTTTTCATTTTCATAACACTCATGGTTCCTCCACTTCATAATTTAGTTAGCAACCATTATAAAATACTCATTGGTCTTAAAACAAACTTTAGGGACCAAAAATGCAATCTACTATGATATATAAAGCAATTCACGTTTTTTTTGTTCTTTTTATTAAAAATATATTTTATATATCCATTCACAAATCAAATATCTTAAATAAAATACACATTAAATAAAAAATTATATTTATTTAAAATTCATAAAAAAGATTACCGTTAAAAAATCTCAAGTTTAGAAAAACAAAAAAAATTGAAATAAATTCCTATATCTTTTGAGTTGAGAATTCAAATATACGAGCAAATTATTGAAAACTAAGTTCGGTTAACTGAAATTATTAATATATAGTCAAATTGTAAATAATTATAATAAACAACAAAATAGAAATTATAAGTTAAGATTAGAAAAACATTAATTATTCAAACAATTAAGAAAAACTATCACTACAACAAAATTAGGTTTATATGACGCCAAAAAAATTAAACGTCATAATAGAGCCCGAGTCCTAGCACCTTATGTGAGATACTTCAGTAGCTAGGTGGGGTGACACGAGTAGTCGATTACTGGGTCCATGTTTGTTTCAATATTCATCTTCAAAGAATGAGAATGAATAGATTATATGACAACCCGATTAACTGTTTCGGTTTAGAAAGGACTATATTTATTTCTTTTAAGTCATGTCACACATTCACCATTTTCTTTTAGCTCTCACACACTCGATCTCTCAACATTTTATCTCAAACACTCATTTTCAAAATATATCTAACCTATGGATGTGTTTCATGGGTAGGTCCTCCGTTTCTGGATTGACTATTGAAACTTCTATATTCCTAGCACTCAGAAAATTATTACACATTCAGAGATATATGTGTTAAATCTCGTATAGAAATGAAGAATAAGTCCTGAATTGATGTATTCAGAAGTCATATATGAAGAACAGGTTTAACAACAAATTCAAACGCTAAACAGAATGACTCAGTACGAGTGTATTTCAGATAAGAATAGAATCATTGATATGAAATAAGGTACAATGAAAACAATTAGAATTTCAAACGAGTGTATTTCCACCAAAAATATTAACGAATATATGAGACGTGAAAATAACTAATTTTAAGAATAGTTGAATCAGGAATTGGAATTATGCATGATGAGAAAATACACAAGTATAAACTCAATGAAATACATGTTCAAAGATAGTACTCGGTATTAAAAAAAATCATTTAAATCCCCACTTCTTAAAATCATAAAACATTTGAGATCAAAGAAGTGGTTTGAACATTTGTAAAAACATTTTAATATACTTAGAAGTTGTTCTTCTTCTAAGAATATAAAAAATAAGCACAAAATAAAAAAAATTGATTAAAAAAAAATTATCGCAAAAAAAAATATTCTAGCCGATGAGGGGATTTCATCGCACAACACATGGTCAAAGAAAGCATTTCATCGCTTACCATTGTGGTTGATGTGGGATTCATCGCTCACCACAAGGCTCACTCGTCGCGTAACTCTTAACACTCATCGCTCAACTTTCATTGCTCAAGAGACAAAGAAAAAACTCATCACTCACAAAGAGATCACTCATAGCTCAACACTTTCAACAAACAAAACTATGTCCAGATATCATCTTATCGCTCAAGACATCTCCGGAGAGTTACTTCATCGTTCAACCTTATTCTGGATAGTCACTTCATCGCACAAAGCATGTCCAGATAGACCCTTCATCGGACAAGCCTTTGTCCGGATTAGCTCTTCACCGGACAAGCCTTTGTCCGGATTAGGCTTTCATCGAACAACACTTCATCTTCATAAAATCCTGTAAAAAATATATCAGTTAAATTGTCATCTTATATTCAAATCCGAATAACAAATTACTTACTCCCCCTTGAAAATACATCAAATAAAAGTTCAAATACTCCCCCCTTGAATTATTATCACATTTAAAACAATACAGAAGATAAAACATTATACTCCCATGAAACAAATAAGACCATGTCATGAACTGTGTTATTCAGAAATTATATTGAAGCACAAAATTCCATATGTTCCCCCTCAAACGAAGCATCCATTTATCATGTGTTTATTCCTCTAAATTCAACTCAGCACATGACCTACAAAGACATATTATACAGATTTTGGTATTCATACTTTCATGGATCCTAATTTGTTAGCATTGGTTTAGGGTATACTATAAGTACCATACTATATGTTCAAAGCAGAAGTTATCACTGTAAACTATTCTCAGAAAAATCAAACATGCAATATGTACCATACCAGTTATTATCATACATGTTATTTCTCTGATTGATAAACCTATTGGCTCCACATCTTGAACAACATATATTCTTCTTACTAAAACTGATCAAATGATTAGTAGATTTGACAATACAAGGTAAAACAATCTTTGAAGCAAAAGATTTTATCTCACCTACAGACTTGTTTTTAACAAGTTGTTTGTAGCTGATTTCTTCTTCCAAAACATTTTCTTCATTTTATAACGTTTACCTGATTCAATCACATAATCATCGTAATAATGTCGAGACATATGAGATTTATGATTTGAAACACCAGTTTTTGAAAATCTGCTTGAGTAACTGTTGGATTTGACAGAATAATTATTACTCTTGCAGTTTTTAACTGAATATAAAGATTTAGTTGAACTATCATTTTCAGAAAACTCTTTGAGTTTATTCAACAACTGATCTCTTTCTTTAGTTATTTAGGCATATTTGTTTTCAAAATCAGATCTCATATTCTTTTCAATAACAAAATCAGCTTTCAAATTAGATAATTTCTTTGTAATTTCAGAAATTTTACCTTCAAGATCTGTTCTTTCTTTTTCAAAACTTTTTCTCTTTTTTCTCAAAATTTCCTTTCTCATTCTCAGATGCAATATCTAACCATTTCTTCTTCTCAGTTAACTCCTTAGCTATAACAACATTCTTCTTTGCAGCATTGTTTCTTTCTATTGCAAATGACTTTCTCTTATCATCCAAACTCTTCTGCTTAGCAACAATGCTCTTTGAAATATCCAAATACTTAGCTCTTTCCAAAATAATTATCTTCTCAAATTCAGATATTCATTCTGAAAGCTTTGTATTATTCATCTCAAGAACTTTAATCTTGCTTTCAAAAATCTTTCTTTCAACATCAAACTTCTTTTCAGTTTCTGTAAACTTATTTTCAGCATCAGACTTCTTTTCAACATCAGAAAATTTAATATTCTTTTTTTTAAACTCTTTCCTTTCAGACTCTTAACAACTTTTCCAGTTCTACAATCCTCTTCTTTTCTTTCTAAAAAATTCTTCTTTCAGAACTCAGAGTTTTCTCAGCTTCATAAATCTTTACAGTTAATTCAGAGTTATTCTTAATCAGCTCAACATTTCTTTCTTGATAATCAAATGAAAAACCTCTAGAAAGAAATTCATCTATTTGTTCGTGTAAAATTTCTTTTCTGCTATCTCTTTCTCATTTTCCTTAACCATATCTATGGCCCAGTAAAGATTTGAATGGTTTTCAAAAAACATTTCAACATATTTCTCTTGTTCCTTTTTAAATTTCCTTTCCAATTCAGAAACTCTCTCTTTAAGTTCCTTATTCTCTCTCTCTAACATAAGAACCATTTCAAACAAATCAAATTG